ATCCGGACATGTGTCCGTGGATGTTGGTAGTTGTTTATTATCTTGTTTACATCCTTTCTTACTTTGATATCTGTGGATATTGTTGATATACATATCTGTTGTAGAATGTGGATATAGCTTGTATGCTTATCTGTGGATATTGTTGATATACATATCTGTTGAGAATGTGGATACAGCTTTTATGCTTATCTGAATGTGAGATATAGTTTTTTTATACATATCTGTGGAAATGATGATAGAGCTAGCATGCTTATCTGTTAAAAAGGGAAAATGAAAATGAAAAGTAAATGGGACTTGTAAGTCGTTGACATAAATATGTAGTTTATGTGATTGTATCAGTGTTGACCAACTATCAATTACTAATGTTTTAGTCATTGTCCATGGTTGGTTTAGTGTATTTCTACTGGGCTGTGGCTCACCCTATATGGGAATATCATTTTCAGGTACAGGAAGCATGCCACCTCCAAGGACATAGCTGGGAGGCTAGAGGCGGACATGTTTTGTTGTTTTACTTTCGATGTATTACATGTAACTTCAAGCCAAGGGCTTAATGTGTATCGAGTTAGTACTCTTTGTTGTAACCAAGTGTTAACTTGGAAAGCTGTAAGCCCGTAGGGCATTTTGTTATGATGTTAACATGTAATACTTATGTAATGAGACACTAATGAATAACAGAAGGTGGTTTGTTTATACGTCAACGCATGTCTTATTTGATGGGTTTAATGTTATTATTTTGAGGGCGTTACAGCAACTAAACCGCCAAACCACAAGCACCCCTAGTAATTTGTAACACTTTATATTTTCAATTTGTTTAGATATTCTATTTGTGTTTTCAATTGAAAAACAGTATAAATATTCTATTGTGTTTCCAATTTGTTTTCAATTTGGAAATCCTTTTATCAAATGACAAGTATTGATATTTGGTATTTTTGTATGGAAAATATAAGGCTTAATTTTGTCATTAAAAAAAATCAAATTAAATAGTTTTTGAATAAAAAAAAAGAGTAATGAAATAGTTTTGATAATTCGTGGTTTCCTTATATGTATTTATTATTAGTATTTGACAATTTACTTGATAATCTTTTGGCTATGTTGAGTTGGATTGTTATCAAAAAAAATATTGTCAAGTTGTATTATGTTCAAAATTTGTAAAAGTTTAAACCGCCAAACCGATTCGCATTCATCTACCAATCCGCTCAATTCGCATCCGTCAATCTGGCCGACGGATGCAGATTGATTTTTTTCAATCCGGCGGACAAATGGCGGATTGGAGATTCCCCGGCCGCAACCAAACTGCGAACGCCCCTTTTATTTTCTATGGCATTAATTTCCACATCCATGACTTTTTGCCACTTTGTTTCTTTGACCGCATCTTGAAATATCACAGGATCACAATAGGTAAATATAGCAAAGTGTCACTACTAGAAAAGGGCTTTTGACACGGAACTTTTTGCGACGGTTTAAAAATCATCACAAAAAGTAAGCTTTTGCAACAGCGAATGAAGCCATTGCAAAACTTTTTGCAACAGACTGATATCCGTCGCAAAAGCTACACATTTGAGACGGATAAAATAATTCGTCGCTAATAGTATTTGTTGAGATAGAAAATGGCTGTCGTAATAAATGAGCAAAAAAGACAGTATCATTAGTGACGAAAACAAATTACCCGTCGCAAATGGGTCCATCAATTGTGACAGATGTTAAACCATGACCCCAAAAAAATTAAAACGACGTAGTTTTATGTTTTTGCGCATAACTCTGTCCCTCACAAATAATACAAGCCCTAACCCTAACTATCTCTTCCTGCCATTGGCGTTGCCTCACTCCGCCATCCTCCCACCGGTGTTGCCCTGGCAAAGCAAACAAGCAAGCAGCAACTTCTCGAAATCTCCAAAGGGTACTGGTGCTGTGAACTCTCAAGATTCTACTTTCATTCGATTCTTGATCTGAGTCGTCTTGTTCGGTGATCTAATTAAATCAAGCAGAAATGCCATGAGCGTTCGATGAGTTAGGGAGACCGTTCATAACAATAAAGGAGCAAGAGCAGAAGACGAGGCTCAGAGGTCTCGATGCTCAGAAAGCCAACATTTTCGCCGAAAAAGCCGTTGCTCGCATCCTCCGCACCTCTCTCGGCACCAAGGGTATGGACAAGATGCTCCAGAGCCCCGACGGCGAACTCACCATCAGTATGTCCATACACATACGTTTCATCTTACTTTGTTTTTAACTTGTCAAATGATCGGCTAGGGTTTTTTAATTTAATACATTTAGGGTTTTTTTGGTCCTTGATCTATTTGTTTTGTGTTATCTATTTGAAGTTTACTTATGGATCTAGGGCAAGGAAAGCGAAAAAGGTGTATTATGATTCGTCAACTTGAGTATTAATTTGTTTTGGTTTTTGTTAGAGAATATGTTTAGGATGCACAGTTAGGTGAAGTGTTCTATTGAGTTTTGTGGGTATGAGTGCAAAAATTGGATTAAGAAAGTTTTGATTATTGTACATTTTCAATGTCATCAAAGATGCTTTCAAGATCACACTGATTGTCTGCACCTGAGGTGAGTTCTCGTTGATTCACTCGAATTTGTTCGATTTTTATCATTCTGATCGCTGTAAAGAGTGTAATTTTAATTTGTATTTTGGCCGATTGACGCTTATTTTACAGTAATTTATAAGTTTGGAGTGTTCTTGTTATGTTTCTTTAGGGGAAGGGGAAGAGACCCAAAAGGCAGCCAAGAGTACTACTCCGAAGCTACAAAAACTCAATTCAATGTCAACACTAGTCCCATAGAAGAACCCAATACCAACCCAATTTTCAAATTTGAAATCTGGGTTCTTTATCTGTAAGGACCCCAAAATGCATATAAGAAATCATTGGTATTTAACTATGAGATGAGGTATTTTAATTTAATTATATCTTTTGGAATTGAAGCATTATCTATTGAGTTACGGATTTAAAATTGAAATTACTGACCTATATGGGTACAGAAACCAAAATTGAGTACTTGGATATGTTAATGGGAATTTTTGGAACTATTTGGGACAATTAATTGGAAATCTAATTTGTCTGATTCGTTAATGCACGTTTGGGTAGTTAACTTTATATTGCAAATTGAAGGCATTAGAGGCTTCAGAAACCAGAACAGGGGACATATTTATGATCCTCATAATTTTTAGAGTTATCTGGGAAGTTTAATTGAAATTTGATTTCGCACGAATCGTAAGGCCACGTTTGGCTCTCTCTATTGTGTTATGTTGGTGTGTATGTGTATACTTATATTATGGGTGCCTTATAAGTGGATGGACTCATCTCTTAGAATAAAAAAAAAAATATCTAGAGGAAAGGGGGAGCCACGTGAGAGAGGGAGAGATGGAGAACTCAAGGAGAAGAAGGAAGGAAGAGCTTGAGAATGAAGAGGAAAGATGGGAAAATTGATGGAATTACTTCAAGAGATTGGCTCTAGGTATGTGAAATCAACTTAACCCCTTAAGATTGATCTATTACTAGTTTAAATTCATGATCTCAAATGAAGAGAAACCACCTAATTGAGTTGGGGTTGATAGATATAAGTTTAGATGAACTCTTTTCATGAATTGAACCTTGATTCCTTAAGAGTTGGTTAATTGAAGAATTAAAGTCATTATATTTGTTTATTTTGAGGTTATGATGTTTGATGGAGAATAATAATGTGAAATTGGTCATGTATTAAAGGGTTTTGGGCTTTGATTTACATGTAATTAAGGTTTGATTTTGAAAATGAGAAGTCCCAAATTTTCAGCCATTTTCGGACTGCAAACTATCCAGGGCCGCACGTGCGGCACTGTTTCCCGCACGTGCGGAGACAGCTCTGTCCAGCCAACTTTGAACAAGCATATCTTTTGCATCCGGACTCCGTTTTGAGTGATTCTTGAGCCTAAAAGCCCTTGCCCGGGGGTAATAATACCGTGGAAGGGTGACATCGCCGAAGAATGGACAGACCCATTAGCTGAGACTGAGCAAAGTAAGGAAGTGCAGTCTGAGGACGCTGAAAATGAAATGGGGGTAATTCTTATTGTTAACGCATTGTTCTTTGTAAGCATTTATGTTGTTTAGGGATCGGTGAGAACATTGAAAGATTATGTGCACTTCGGTATGACGCTGAAACTACTCTACATTCTGATTATGGGTAATGATTATCCTTAATGTGTAATAACCTGTAAATTACCTATAACTCCGCACAAGAATTATTAATATTATGCAACTGGTTGGCAAGAAGGGATTATGAATATAAACCCCGCTTAATGGGAACATGATATTTTGAACGTCCTATCCTGGACTCCTACAGCCTTATTTAGTTCGATACATGTTTTATGACATAGACATCTGCCTAAAATGGATTAACGAAATGAAAATCGAACAGAACCATGGGTTTCCTTATACGTCAAAGAATTGAATATCAATAACATTGTTATATGACTCACGTTATGGTGCGAATTGTTCTATTCCCATGAATAGTACTGTAACGACACATGTGTTTCTGTAAATAATTATTATTAATACTTTGTTATATGTAAGATGACTACGGCTACATGTAATGAATCATACTGGGAAATTTATGTGCACCATTGTGAACGGTATTTGTATGAACCTAGCATTATTATGTTATGTTTATTCACTTCGTTTATGCTATGACATAATATGAATTGTTCAGTCTTCAAGAACTATTGATTCCTAGTACGAAACTAACTGCTGCAATGCGAACCACCTCTTGAGTCCATACCTACAAGAGCTGGGCTTAAAGCCAATTTGGTCCCTTTATGGGTCACCCGGTTATGTGAAATTACGAAAGATATGAAAGGAATAACTTGTGAACTTATGAAAGATATAATTTGTGAAGATATGAAAGGAATAACTTGTGAACTTATGAAAGATATAAATTGTGAAGATATGAAAGGTATAATTTGTGAACTTATGAGGCCGAGGGCCAACTTGTGAATTCTGAAATTATGAGGCCGAGGGCCAACTTGTGAAGTATAAATCTGTAACTTGTGAATCTATGAATCACAAAGGCCGAGGGCCAATTTGTGAAGTTATGCATCTAAGTTAAGCCAAGGGCTAATTTGTGAATGTGTGAACCCATCAGGCCAAGGGCCCACCTATGAAGTTGTGAACCGACAAGACTGTCCTGAAATGTGTACAGAATCAGACTAACCACAGGATTTTTGCATTTACTTATCTAATTAGAGAAATGTGTACATTGTAAGTAAATTAAGTTAATCTTTAAATTGTTTATGTACCACTGTTCACTGAGCTTGACTCACTTTGTCTTATGTCTGTTTCTGTAGGCACTCCACCTGGAGGTCAGTTTTAACCCATGGCATCCGTGCCTCTTTTGTCAACCTCAGAGTATCCAGGCACTTAAGTGAAGGCAGCCCCTTTTGCTAAACTTTTGATTTTACACTCTGATTGTTTGCTTAAGGTTGATGTATATATAATTCCTTTGCCTATCCATGTTGTTTTACGCCCAATTCTAAGGGCTGGGTCTGTATATATATATGTACATAGCTAACTCTCTGGTGCACGTCACTGTATGTTTATTTGCCTTATGTTCTGTCTGTGATCCTGGCATGATAGTGGTCGCTCAATGGATGCAATTCTTTTATTTATGTTAATTTATATTGGTAAATGCTTCCGTTCAGGCCCCATATGATATGTATACCAGGTTATGCGTCCGTTTCTGTGTTGGTCATGCCCAAACTTTTACGGGCAAGTTTAGGGCGTGACATTATCTCATTTCAATCAATCAATCAGTCTTCAATGTGTGTATATATATATACACATGTACAGGGCATTAGTCCAAGACTACCTCAAGACTTAGATCTTTCATTCTCTCTCTTTCCTCAGGTGACTTAGCCTACCTGTTTCTCTTATGTTTTTCTTTTTGTTTCTTGTTTATTTATGCCTCTTGTGATTGTAACATACAAAAATTTCAAGTCATAATTGGTTCTCCAAAGAAATTTTCTTTGAATCACATCTGGGTATTTGCTGAATTTTGCTTCTGTTGATTATAGATTGCATGTTGTTCAGATCATTGTCAATGTGTTGTTGCTTTCTCAGCCGTGTGTTTAAAGTCCTAATTGGGTTTTTTTCAGACAAATCTTTTTTGAATCTCTTCTGGGTATTTGCTGAATTTTGATTCTTTTGATCGTAAATTGCATGTGTTTCAGATCATTGTCAATGTGTTGTTTTCTCAGCTATGTGTTTGATTTCTTCAAACTTCCCATGAGTTGTCTTGTTGTTTACCCCTTTTTTTTTCTTTATTTGGGTTTTGCATTCTACTATATGTGAGCTGATAAATTAATTCTAGAAAATTTTGCAAATCAGTTTTGTAGGGTGCTGTGAACTTCACTCCCGTGGGTATACCTAGATGGAGTATGGTTAAAACGAAATCTATATTTAATTTGGGCCTGTTTGCTTAGTGCTTCCAATTTTTTGGTTAAGTCAATATAATAAGAAAACAATTTTCTCATGATTGGTCAATGAGTCCTAATGGTACGCTAGAAGGATCATGGATTGAGCTAGCACATTTTATTTTATTTTATTGATGAGGGGAACTTATTATATAGCTGTAAATGGTGATGATAAATAACAAAAAGTAGAAATGTTATTGGTGAATCTCTGGTTCTTTTTCTGATATAATAATACCAAAAAAAAAAAAAAAAGTAAATCTCATATCTAAATCTTTTCCTTTCAGGGAAAGCTGTTCTCAGATTCTGAATCTATACAGTCAAGAGTTGAGGCTACAACGCTTCTTAAGCAATTGGATTTCCCGATTTGTGTTAAAACTATTTTTAAGTTTTGTCAATCAAACTTATTTATTACTTGCTTTACATGTTTTATTCTTTTAAGGAAGCTAGTCATTTTGTCCGTCATTGTATTACAAAATAGACTTAATAAATATTGCTAAATAGTAAAAGTGAAAATGATAATTCTACATATCATTAAGTTGGAAACTTTATTTCTTGCAAATTTTAGGGTTTGTGGGCCAAATATTAGAATTCTGTTTGTTCACTCAAATTATTTGGAATGCAATTATATTCAGAAAGATTAAACAACCATGCTTGGACTGATGTGTTGATGCATACACCATGACAGTTTGGCCATGTATTGACAGGTTGACAGCTTGAAGGAAAAACTCCTTGAAAAAGTAGAACAAGCTTGATTCTAGAGAAGTAAGCAATGCTTCATTGGATCATGATGGACCTTTTAAATAAGGAAATTACCCTGACTCAGTTCCTTCTGCTACTTCTAAGGTATGTGAACACAAAATGGCATTATATTTGTTTTTTATATGGGTATCTTCTTGGAAGTTTCTATATAAGGGTGCAATTGAGGTTAGTAGTTGAACACCACAAGCTTTATTGGCTTCTACCAACTTAGAAGCTCTTGATTGTATTGGAACACTATTCGATTAAATTTAAATTTAATTGTACTATTGTATGGTATCAAACCACTCCTAGCCGTTAGTGCAATTTGAATGAGATGAACTCTGTTTGAATTTCTAACTGTGCTTGAATGACGCATTAATAAAAAGAACTTAATTTCAGAAATAGGAGCTAACTGGTGTTGTTGTTCTGCCAATTTTTTTTCCCCTGAAGCATGTACTCTTTCTTGTTAGGTCTTATAGCAAGTGCACATGTTAGATTTGTTGTTTACTTTCTTAAATCCTGTAGTTAGTTTTTGCACAATAACCATTGCTTATCTACTATTTTTTGTGTCAGGTTTCTACTCGGGAATTTGTGGATGTTGTCTTTGCTTATTGGGTAATATTCCCTGATTCAGAGCAGCAACTAATCAATCTTGCACAAGACCTTGTTACCAGGTATGAATTTAAATAATTTTTCAGGTAAAGAAGTTAAAGTGTGGTTTACACACATCTTCACTCGTAGTGGCTTAAAAAATTTAACTCCACTCAGCTGATAATAGACACATGTTGTACTTGATTGTGCTTTTCATTATGTCGAAAATCAAATAACAGGTTCAGTTTTTTCCCTGTTGTATTTTTGTACAATCACGTAACAGTATAGCTAACCTTGAGGATTCTCTTTCTTTGTTTGGCTCTGTGGGATTTTGCAGTGACGCTTTGATGGAACAAATTAAAGCATTGGTCTATCGTCACCCAGACAAACTCTATGTAGGTCTAATGTTTTTTTTTTTTGCATTAGTTATTTTGTTAAATTGGCAGTTCTCATTGTTCATATATTAAGCAGATGGAGACAACTGGAGGTAAAAACAAGGGCTACCGTGCAGAGATGATTGTTGTTACTTATTGCCGAAATAGGAAAGACAGATGACAAGTCAAAGTTTCGGATCCTTCTTGTAAGTTTGTGTCTCTTAATGCAGTAAGATTGCATTTGAATTGTTATTAGTTATTTCCTTTTAAAATCATATTAAATTAGTTGAGTGTAACCTGCATACCTCATTTAATTTAATGTCTAGTTTGTAGAATATCTCAGATTGGTAATTGCTGGTGTGTTTGACAGATAATTACTTGTCTTCCAGAGTTTTGGGCAGCATGGAAGGGAGCTCATTACATCTGAGCTTGCATTAAGGATACTCTCCATCTTGAGTGGAGAGCAATTTCCACCCAACATGGATCCAATTTCTTTAAACAACACGTTTGAGAGGCTTGTGATAAAGGTAACCTTTAATCTTTTCGCTAGATCCTTCCCTGCTCGCTTTAACCTCTTTTTTTTTTTTTGTAAATAAAATGTAGTGTACATGATTATAGATATGTGCGTCTATATCAGTAAACAAGTGTTATATGTATAATTCACATTCAATATAGTGCCAACTTTTGAGTCCAATGTGGGCTCACTCATGAAAACTATAAAAATGCCTGCAGCTTTAAACTCTGATGAGACTGGCTTTTTAATTTTCTGATCTTCTTAAATATTATTTTTTTTTTCTTTTTGCAGATGCTATCCTTTTAAGTACGTGATGATATCTTCGCATATCGATATTGGAGCTCACTATTGATACTAAAACAAGCAATAATATATATGTTTTTTTTTTGTGCTGTCGATATTTTTGTTTTGTTTTAGATACAAATTTGAGTTCTTGAATTATCAAAAATTATTAGTATTGTTGAAGGATGTTTTATATATTTTTGTTAGGAATGTTTGGTTAACACTGTATTGTTACATGGTACATATATATTATTATTCTTATATATGATTTTGTGAATGTGAATGTCAATGTGTGGATGTGGATGCATTTTATTTTAGAAAATATTAATAATTTGTATAGGAAATGAATTAATAAAATAAATATTTATGACCATAATAAACCGTCGCTAATGTTATCATCATTTTCTTGCATTTTATGAGCGACGGGTTAACCTGTCTTATATACATATTAGTGCCATCTTTAGTAACAGTTTCAACTATCGCAAATACATTATTGATTTAATTCTATTTTTTTGCGACGTTTAAGACCGATGCTAATAATACTTTTTGCGACATCAACTACCGTCTCTAAAAAAGTTTTTGGTGACGGCATCTTAAACCGTCACTAAAAGTGAATTTTTTTTAGTTTTTTTGTGTCGGGTTGAACCATCGCAAAAACAATTGATTTACCGTTGCTACAAGGAAGTGACGGTTTGTAACCGTCGCAAATACCTTTTGTCACACCCCCTTCCGCCACCCCCCATTTCCCGTCACTACTCAAAAAGTCTTTTGCGACGCTATGTGGACCTTTTGCGACGTTTGAGACCGTTGCAAAAGGTCCGATTTTTAGTAGTGTGTGTGAGTGGATCAATTGATTGATCAAATCCACTTACTACATAATCTTGCATCTATGTTGGCCTTCTTTTAATATGTGGAGATTTTGATCCAGTTGGAACAGTGATGCCCCGATCCTTGTTTTCTTTACTTTACTTCTTCCTCTCTTCTCTTTTTATCTTCGTTGGATTAACCATGCTTAAAATTAGTCCTCTAAATGATAGTCTTTGTCTTTGTTTTGCTTGGGGACTTAAATCTCTCTTGTTTCGGAGTATGCGCGACCGAGTCCAGAGTGCCCGGGAGTGATGCTGGAAAATTCTGGGCTAGAGGCCAGGGGCCACACGCGCGGGGGCCTTGGGCGGCACGTACGGGAGAGGGGTCGTACGTGCGGGGAGTGAGGCCGCACGTGTGGAATTCAGGGGATTGTTTGGCTGGCTTCTGTCTAATATGCACAAGTGGAGAGTGGTGCGGGAAGGGCGCTCCGTACGTTCCGGGAGGTGTGTTGCACGTACGGCAGACGGGCAGCCCAGATCTCTATTTTTTTTACACTTTTGGCCGAAGTTGTATAATATTTTAGGGCTTTTCTCTCTCACTATACTTCATTTCTCTCCTCCTCTCTAGAAACCCTAACTAAAACACCCAAACATCTTGATTTCCTTGCAAATCTTTGGATCTAGAACATCATCATCCCTCCTAAATCTTGAAGATCAAGCTTGGACATCTCTTGGTGTAGGAGAAATTGAAGAATCCTCCATCTAAAAGCTAGGGGTTCCATCTCTTTCATCATCAAACATTAAGGTAGGGAAATCTCATTGAGTTATATATATATATATATATATTTATGTTAGAGTTAGTTGGTTTTAAAGTTTCCATTAATGGTATTGAAGGTTTAGTTTTGTCTCATAAATGTTAAGAGTTTCACAAATGGGTTTTTATCTCTCTCCCTAAACTATCTTCTTGATGCTTTTAACTCATATAATAGTGGGTGTGGTATTTTGAGGGAAAAACCCTCTCAAAAGAGGGGAAAGATGTTTGTTTTGGCTATTGACATAAAACCCTCGAAATTTTTGGGGATTTTGAAAGGTGAAAGTATGTTTAGAGTCATCTTGTTGTTTTAAAAATTAGTGAGTGAAACTTTCATCACATTGTGTAGCATAAGTGGTAATTTACTTAGTGTATGAGAAAAGAGTTATTATCCTAACATTATTGTTGAATATTTGAAAGTGTATTGTTGTGAAATAACAAATGGTTGTGCACCTTGGTTAGAGCAAATTGTAGAACATTGGAATTGATGATTTAAAGGTATCACATGTAGACTTGAAGAGGGCCAATTTGTAGTGAATTGAACATGAAAAGATGTTATTGCTATGAATTGATGGCATGGTCCTTGTGAATTAATATTGAGGAGAATAAATGGATAATGTAGTTAATTGACATTGTTGTAGAGATGCTTGAAATAGAGGAATGTATGAGCCATTATGTATTCCATCATGTTCTCATTTGATTTACTACCATCATTGCACATTTTGAAATGAATAGGAAACTGTTACTTTGAAAAGGGTATGTTGTAATGAGAACCATGAAAATGTGTATGGGGTAAATACGTGGTGAGTCCAGATAGGGGGTGTAGTGGAACTTGACAAGTTGGCCTGAGTGTCCTTGGTGAAAGACCAGAAAACCACGTGGATAGGTGTCGAGCCTTCTGGTTAATATTGGTAAAAATGACAATTTGGTAGTACTTGTATAGTCTACTTGCAGACACCAGCCTAGGGATTACCGGTGTCGTATTTACCACCCCTTGGATTAATGAAATTGAGGGTTTGAAATTGATGAAATTGAAATATGTTAATGCAAAGCATGGAGATTCTTCCAAGAAAAGCATGATATGTGATTATTTTGATAAAGGCATTGTATCGCATTTTGCACTTGCATATGATATTGGACATTCAACATAAATGTATATACTTTGTTAGGAATTTCTCTGCTGGGCTTTATGCTCACTCCTATGGGATTTGGTGCGGGTAAGGACGTGGTGATCCCGACAAGCTAAGGGCGTGGATATGTTTTGGTGAAGAGTAGTCTTGCTCTTATTTTTATTGTGGTATTTTTGTAAGCCAAGGGCTAATATGTTTGGGTCCGAGAGACCATTTTGTGTAATTGGGCTATTGTCTTAGAAGATGTAAGCCCTTAAGGGCATTTTATTGTTTTTTAGATTAGATGTTCCACATGCTATAGATTCAGGTGTTCTTTTATTTTGTTGAATGTGTATTGCATGTGGAACTTTTGCATTAAACTCATTTATCAAGTATGGGAAGATGGAAGAATTATTATTATTGTTTAGTGAATGTTTATAGCGACCCCCAGTTTTCTCTCCATTCATTATTGTATCCCGGGCTTTGGTTCTGTGGTGTGGGATGTTGTATATCTTGTTTCTGTCCTTCAATACTTTGTATTTGAGTTATAGGATGTTATGGGCAGGTTTGTTACAGGTTGGTAGTGAGTTTGAACCAATAGTTGCTGCCCAGATTTTGGTGTCTTCATTCGAGCGAGGCTTTTGTCGCTCGAGCGAGCTCTGTGTTTTAGATCATCTGCTCGAGCCAGGATTCCTTCGCTCGAGCGAGAGTTGAGTGTTGTGTCTGGTGGCTCGAGCGAGAAGTCTTGCGCTCGAGTTTGCGTCTGCGTCTGGTTCTGGACCTGAAGGTTGCATTTCTTGGCTCGAGCAAGCGAGCTGTATGTTTTGGGTTTCTTCGCTCGAGCGAGCTTTCCTTCGCTCGAGCGTGCTTCTGGGTTGCAAACCTAAAGCTTCGAATTGTTGGCTCGAGCGAGGTACGCTCGAGCAAGGTTTCTTTGTGTCTGGTCGCTCGAGCGACCACTTCTTCGCTTGAGCGAGCCTCAAATATATCAGTTGGCAGCAGCGGGTTTTTACACACTTTTTCATCTCTTTCTTTATACAAACCCTAGCCCCGGTTGTCTTTCTCTCCACACTCACTCTCTCTCTCTCTAAGATTTCATCTACTTCTAGTGGTCTCCTACCCCAGTTCCTTTGTATAAAGTATAGAGCTTGGTTTGGTCAACATTTTGATCTGAAAATCTCTTGGTTTGGAGCACTTTGAGTTTTCTTCATCAACTCCTTTGGTCTCTCCATTTGAGGTAGGGATAACCTACTCTAATATATGAGTTTTAACATAAGTTTTAGTCATTTTGATTATATGGTATTGTTGGATAATTTTGGGAAAAGTTAGGGTTTGATTCGTAATTACATAAAGAGGGGTTTTATGTTTTAAAAGCTCCATATGTATATAAGGCTTGGGAATATGAGTTTGTGAATGAAATTGGTGGAATTTGGTCTTAGGATCAATATTTGAGAAAGGGGGTAAATGCCCTGATTGTTGAAATAAATTAATTGGTATAATTAATTTGGGGGAAATGCGAAATTGAGTAGAGATCCATGAAATTGAGAAATTATAGGATTGAATGGTGTAGTTTGATTAATTTATCACTCACCTATGAAAATATTAAGATTATATCTGTTTGATACATTTATTTTCTGCTTAGAAATAACTGCATTGAGCTATCGGTGGAGGATAGTCTTGATTGTTGTAGACACTGTATGTTGATTAGGAAAAACTGAAACTAATCACATTGAATATGTCATTGAATGTGACGGTCGAAATAATACATCAAATATGTGTATTAATTGATCCTTGTATATGATGAGTGTTTATATACTTGGAATATGCGTATTGTGTGGGAGGAGATAGGGGATGTACCCCATGGTTTGAGAGGAGATAGGGGATGGACTCTCAAACTTGTTTGGGAGGAGATGGGGGATGGACTCCATTGATACAGCAAATATGTGTATCACTTGAAGTGTTAATACAGCAAATGTGTGTATTAAATTGAAATATTGAAAGTGTCTTAATATGAGTTGTAGACTCATTTGAATTATGAATAAAGGAAGTGTTTTAGTGGGATGTAGTCTCATTTAATTGGTTGGCCAGGTTCTGAGCCATGTTTATGAGATGATTTGGATAAGTAAAGGAAAGTGGAATGTAACATGGACATGATTGTCATGGAACTATATTATGATATAAATTGGTATATAAGTGTCGACCATCTATCAAATGCTATTGTTTTTCATTACTCATATTTGGTTTAGTATATCTCTACTGGGCTGTGGCTCACCCTATATGGGACATCATTTTCAGGTTCGGAAGACATGCCACCACCAAGGACATAGCTTTTGGTTTCTGGGAGTTGAAGACTCTTTTTGGTTATTTTGTTATTTTGATATTACATATAAATTCAAGCCAAGGGCTTAAAATGTAATTGAGTTAGTACTCTCTTTTGTGACCAAGTGTTGGCTTGGAAAGTTGTAAGCCTATAGGGCATTTACTTTTGTTGTCAACATGTAATACTTTCGTACTTAACTACTCTGATGAATGGAAAGGTGTTTTATTCTTT